TATTCTATTCTATTCTATTCTATTCTATTCTATTCTATTCTATTCTAACCTCAATGCTTAGTATTAATAAAGATGAATAGTTATTTTATTTTTATCTGTTTGTCAAACATGTACAAGATAACAAGTTATTAATATAAACATGAACAAAGGAAGTAAATATAGAGAAATGGGGACCGTAAGATAGGGACAGTAGGCACGCTTGTGCACTTATGCACGCCCCCTTTAAGGACCTCTTAGGAATGGGGTGAGGTCCATGGTAGACTGAGGTTGAAGCTGTGAGGGGTTGAGGCTGTAACAACAGAGTCGGATAGGGTATTCAGGCATTGACCACTCTCTGGCTGAAGTTGTACTTTCTGCAATCAAGTGTGGAGCAGTTTCCCTTGAGTTTGTATCGGTTGTTTGCCCATGTGTTATTGTGGTTGAAGCTGAAGAAGTCGTTGATAGGCAAGATGTTGTAGCAGACAATTTTGTGTACTATGCTTAGATCGGACCGCAGGTGGTGCAGTTTCAGATTGTCCAAGCCAAAAATTTCCAGCCTGGAGGCATAGGGAATTCTATTGTGAGTAGAGGAGTGGAGAACTTTTCTCGAGAAATACCTCTGAACCTGCTCAATTGTGTTCATGTCCGATTTACTGTGCGGGTTCCAGGTGGACGAACTGTATTCGAGAATTAGTCTGGCAAATAGACGTGTCCAAGGATAATATTGTAGGATCCAATCTGGGTCAGTCACCAGGATCCGAGGTTCAGTTTTCTGAGCTTTCAGACTTGACAAATCCTGACAAGTGGACATGCGATAAAACAAAAACAAAAATGTGGAGTATGGTTCATATCTTAATACAGAAAATTTTGAAAACGGAGATATAAATGAAACCAGAACTTTTCCTTTGGGGCCTAATGGAAAAAGAACTGGAGAAAAAAAAATGGAACTTTGTTATTATATATGTTGACCTCATTAAGACTATTGTATGTACAAAATGGTTGCAGAAGTTGATGGAGTTGGCCAAAATGGCAAAATTGACCACTTTGATTGAAGAAAAGTACTTTTGTTTCCACACAGAAAATGCTTCAGAACTTCATGCTTGATGTGGAGAAGAATGAAATGTTGATTTTGGGTTTCAGAGTAGACTGATAGATCTTTACAGAAATGGCTTGTTCATATTATTATGAAAAAGCAAAAAGTTGTTATTTGATGTTAATATCTTATTTTACTGCAACAGAGAGAGTTGGAAGTCAATGCTTCTTTTTCTTTTTCTTCTTCTTTTTCTATCCTTCCTCACTTTTCTTCCCTCTTTCCCACCCCAGTGCTTTTCTATTTACTTTTGAATTTTTTTTTTGCGATATTTTATAACTCAACTAGCTCAATATCCGTGCTTCGCTATGAAACTATGTGGTTGGGCTTAGTTTTGGGGCAAGAAAATAAGGGGGAAAAAATTTCTGCCTCTGCCTAGCAGCATCCATCGGTATTCATCTGGCTAGTGTCCTGTCAGTGTGTTTGGAAACTGAAAGGATATTTACAGTGTCAGCAAGAAGGAGACAGTAAGGAGCCTGAGCGTGGCTTAGCTCAACTGTTCTGTGTTAGGAATCTGTACACCAATTAGTTGGGTTGGCAATATATAAACCAACAATGTATGTTTGTAGCTTTAAGACAAAATCGCTGTATTGATTTATACTATATTCTGATTGGTTGATTATATTGCAAATTACCATAAGAGGGAGCTAGAGATCATAGCTTGCTCTCTCTGACATTCTGTTGCTATCTAAGGTTCTCTGTTGTATTTATGCTATGCTTATACTTTGATATCTTTGTTTACTGTAAATGACAAAGGCAACCAGTAAGAAGACTTTGTAATTGGATATTCTTTGGACTGTTAAACGTATATGACCTGGACCATTTATTGGACTGTGATATTTCTTAAAGTAAACTTTAACTCAATTTAGCGTATCTGTGTGTGGCTGAATTCATAACTACTCTCATAAACGTTTCCATGTGCATATCAGAGGTGGTATTCAGCAGGTTCTGACCAGTTCTGGAGAACCGGTAGCAGAAATTTTGGAGTAGTAGTTCGGAGAACCAGCAAATGCCACCTCTGACTGGAGTTTTTACAGTCTCCTTCCCTTGCCACGCCCACAGAACCGGTAGTAAAAAAAATTGAATTCCACCACTGGTGCATATCCTTGTTACTCAAAGGTTATTCTGTACATATCATAACATTCTTTCTTTATTTATTTGATTTGTCAATCACTTACAAGATAATAGGTATAAGTATATACATAGTTATGAATTCATGAAATGGGTACATATAAGAAAAATAAAAGAAACAATAAGACAGGGATGGTAGGCACGTTTGTGCACTTATGCACACCCCCTACAGACCTCTTAGGAAAGGGGTGAGGTCAATAGTAGACAGTCTAAGGTTAAAGTTTTTGGGGTTTGGCGAAGAAACCAATTCTGTACTAAAGCTGCTTGGTGCTGTGAAAACTGAAACTTCTCTGCTTGTGTTTTGCATTTGGAACAGATTTCTTTTCAGGTGGGGAGGGGGAGTAGAATTCCTTAGCATCAGAGCATGTTAATAATAATAATATATGAAATACTAATAGCTCTGATGGTCATTTCGAAAAATCCTTTCTTAGTGAGCACCTAGAAACCAAGAAACACATATGTGCCAAATTTCAACTTTATAGGCTTTATGGTTCTGGAGATTTTGTGATGATGCATGCATGGTATTTCACTTTTATATATATATAGATAAAAACATTAAACAAGACAAATCTTGACAAGTTCCCTGAGGATGGGCTCCATCACGAGTCCAAAATCTCAGAAAACTAAATCTCTAGTCCCGGTGACCGATCCAGATTGGAATTATGCAGGTGCTTAGTGCTTGATGCTTAGTGTTGCAGAGTGCTCCTTCCTTGGTTTTCTGTAGCAGATGCTCTGTGGCCTCCCATTTCTTTCTAATTTGGCAATCTGAAATGAAGCAGCAGAAGAATCCAAATTCTTCTACCCAGCGGTGGAGCTGCTGTCCTGCCCTTGAGAGAGGTTCCTTGCCCTGAAGAGCTGACTGTTGGCAGGAGCTGGTTTATGGGACCTCCTAAAACAGGGGTGGGCAAACTTTTTGTCTCAGGGGCCTCATTGACTTTTAAAATTTGACAGACGGGCCACCACCTGGTGTTGAAATGCCTGTCATTACAAGTCAAAATCAAATGAATGCAATCATTCACATCAAACCTTAATTCGGTTACCAATCTTTGGCGGGACGGATTAAAAAGACCAACGGGCCGGATGTGGCCCCCGGGCCGTAGTTTGCCCACCCCTGTCCTAAAATCTAGCGTGCAAAGATGAGTCACCTTGTTCCTTGAAGCTGCGGAGATCTTCTCAGGAGCATCAGAGTTTGACTTGTACTATTACCACCACAGGTGGATCCTGAGCCTTATGTGGAAATCTGCACGTACGACACCTGTGTTTGTGAGTCCGTTGGGGACTGTGCATGTTATTGTGATGCCATTGCTGCTTATGCCCATGCTTGTGCCCAGAAAGGGGCAGTGATCCAATGGAGGTCTCCTACTCTATGCCGTAAGTACTGGGGAGAGAATGTGGGGAGAGGAAGGGGAGAAGGGAGAGAGGGAGAAGGTGGGAGAGTGGGAGAGAAGGAGGAAGAAGGAGGAGAGAGGTGGGGAGAGAAGGGGGAGAAGGAGACAGAGGGAGAGAGAAAGGGAGGGAGAGAGGGAGAGAAAGGGGGAAGGGGGGAAGGAGAAGGAGAGAGAGAGGCAGAAAGGGAGAGGAGAGGGAGAGAGAGAGGCAGAGAGGGAGAGTGGGAGGGAGAGAAGGGGAGAGGGAGAGGGAGAGGCAGAGAGCGAGAGGAGAGGGAGAGAGAGGGGGAGAGAAGGAGAGAGGGGGGAGAGAGGGGGAGAGAGAGAGGCAGATACGGAGAGAGAAAGGAGGAGAGAGAGGGAAAGAAGGGGGAGAGGGAGAGAAAGGGGGAGAAGAGGGGGAAGGGGAGAGAGAGAGCAGGAGAGAGAGAGGGAGGGAGAGGGAGGGAGGGAGAGGGGGAGAGAGAGAGAGAGAGGGAGGGGGGGGAGGGAGAGGGGGAGAGAGAGCACACAGAAAAGAGCTCAAAGATGATTGGGGGATTGGAGTCTAAAAGATATAAGAACAGTGGCAGGAATTGAGTACGTGTACTCTAGAGAAAAGAAGGACTAGGGGTGACATGATAGCACTATTCCAAGTATTTGAGGGGCTGCCACAAAGAAGAGGGGGCAACCTATTTTCCAAAGCACCAGAAGCCAAGATAAGAAACCATGGATGGAAACCAATCAAAGTGAGATCCAAATCCAAAACTAAGGAAGAAATTTCTTAACAGTCAGAACAATTAATTGGTGGAACAACTTACCTCTAGAAGTCAAGAGTGCTCCAACACTGGAAGTTTTTAAGAAGAGATTGGACAACCATTTGTCTGAAATAATGTAGGGATAAGCAGATGTTTTATTACCCAACTAGGTTGCATCATCGGTGCTAGTTCAGATCCTATCAGATGCTAGCACTGATGATTATTATGTAGTTTGGGTAGTGAAACATCTGCAAGAAAACAAGCAGGCTGAGAGAGCACCTCATCTACAGATGTTCACTTTTTTTAAAAAAAATTGAAATGATTACATGGCGCAAGCATCCCATCATTTTTTATTTGGTTTATTGTAGCACAAAGTTGTGAAAGCATGAACAAAGTGGAGGAAGAATATCAATGCGAATGGCGATACAACAGCTGTGGTCCTGCCTGTCCCAGGACGTGCCAGCACATGGACCCAATAGCATGTCCCGTGAAGTGCGTTGAAGGATGCCATCCACACTGTCCTGCTGGTAAGCATCTCCACTCCATGCACTATGTCTGGTCAGGAGGACTTTACTCAGAGTTTTACTCTTACTTAAATAATATGTGATGACCCAGGGCACAGCACAGAGGTAACAGGCAGCTGGCAGTTCAACTGCCCTTTTATTGCTCCAAATTTCCACAAATGCTTCCATGTTTCTGGCAAGTCTCAGAGCAAAGTGATCTCTCTCTCTCTCTCTCTCTCTCTCTCTCTCTTTCTCTCCACAAAAACACACACACACCTTAAGCAGCCTCTGGCTGCAAATAGTCCAGCCCAACACTATGAGCACCACGGCTGCAGTGCAAAAAATGCAGAAAGAATGCAAGGAATCTAGGAAGTCCAAACATCGGCACTCAACACTCCATGAGTTTCAGTGTTTATTCCCGACATGCACCCCTCCCCACAGCATCTCCTTAAGTCTCAGTCTCCAGGTGTGCCTTTTGAAGAGGGGCAGGGCGCTCTCCTCCTGAGTAGCTGGGTCAGTCTGTGCTGTTCCCGCCTTCTCTCCACTCTCCGTGCTCAAGGATCAGGAGGGGGTGGTCCTAGCTCATTGCCTGAGCTCTCATAATCACTGCTTAGCCTCATCCTGCCCCCCTTCCTCCCTGCCTACAAACTCTCCTAATCCTGAAAGGCCCTGACTTGACTGGGCCTGCCCCTCCCCATTTTCCTCCCCTTGATTTCCGTATGCTCCAGTTTCGGCTCATCTTCCTCTGCAGATTCAGGCTCTGACAGGGGCATGACATAATATGATTAGAATAGAATAGAATAGAATAGAATAGAATAGAATAGAATAGAATAGAATAGAATAGAATAGAATAGAATAGGTGTCCGGATTATGGGTAGTTTTGGTATTCTGGCAGAGGCTTTCCCCTTTCTTTTGAAGAAATAAAACAAATGCAATTCTTTTCTCTGTATTTAATTCAGTAACAGACATCCGGGAACAAGAGAAATGAGTTGAAAAGGCTCTTTATCCATCTATTCTTTATTTTAAGAAATTAAACTGTGTCCCAACATCTTTACAAATTATAATATGCGCCTATATGTGTGTGGGCAGTGTGAGTAAGAGAGAATAGTACAGATGTCAGGTATTAATTTCCAAAGGAAATATCAACAGTCTTCTGCCTCCTTATCTTGAAAGACCAAAATTCCAAGAAGTGAGTTCGTAGAATTAAATTCATAAGAGTTATGATGCCCATCCTTGTTATTTCTTATTCTGAATGGAGAATCATATTGTGTAGATAATAGCACCCCAGAGCAAAATATTTATGTTCCAAAGAAATTCAGAATTGTTTACAAATATTGGATGATATGGAACCAATTAATTTTTCATTTTAAATGAAAGGGGTATTTCATAAAGGTACGTATCTGGTCGCCATTTGTATCATCTTTTGACATTTTTGATCAGACAGGAAGAGATTCAACATTTTGGTCAATGGGCCTCTATATTCCAGCCTGTTTTAGTATGTACTTTATTGGAAAACAATTCTATATCCTTTTCTCTTTCTGAAGTGATCCTGCAGTCCAGATGTTAATAAATAGAAGGGGGAAGAGTGTGTGTTGTTTGGCAGCTGGATTCAATTGCTGATCTTTAACTCAGTTCTAGACTTTGCTTTCTTTACTCCTCATTTCCCAATGTCCTTCTTCCCCAGAAGTGGGAAGGAATGATCAGTCAGTAAAGTTGCTATGGAACTAACTTGAAAAGAAACGTCACTGAACCAACTGAAGAGTAGAAGAATTGAAACATGGATGGCACCACTAGAATTGCTAATTGCCCTGTTTCCCTGAAAATAAGACCTATACCAAAAAACAAGACCGAGCATGTTTTACATGTGTGCCTAATATAAGCCCTACCCCCAAATTAAGCCCTACTCAAGAGCCTGTGCAGCTGGCCACCTGCTCATTCTGTCTGATTGCTTGCAGTGGTGCAGCCATGAGATGAGGCCGAGTGGTGGTGGAGCTGCCCCACCTGCTCTGCACTGGCTTACCTCAGGCCCACCATCTCCAGCCCATCCATACCCTGACAACTGCCTCACAGTGCCAGCAATGGAAGTCATGTGCAGCAGGAGCCTATGTGGCCACCATCCCACTAGTTCTACTTGCTTCCCATTGCAACAGAGCAGGAGGGTGAACAGTATGTCGGTGCCGTGGCCACGAGGCAGGTGTCAGGGCATGGATGGCCTGGCCTGGCCTGAAGTAAGCTGGTGTGAGGTGCATGGGGTAGCTCCACGTCCCACCTCAACTTGTGGCTGCAGTACTGGTGTGTCGCTCAGCCTCCTGCCCTGCCACGAGCAAGCAGAAGCCTCCCCTACTTGGAAAAAAATAAGGCACCCCTGAAAATAAGCCCTGGTGCTTATTTTGGGGCCCAAAAGAAAATAAGACCCAATCTTATTTGGGGGGAAACATGATATTTGGGAGATGTGCCTGGCAGCTTGAAAGGAGAACCTCTTCTTGCTGTCTTTTGGTGCTCTCTGAGCTTGGTTGTTTTCTTGAAGACATTTCATTCCCCCAAACCAGATAACATAATCAATGGAAGAATATCGACCTTTGCTGTCTGTTGACTGTCCTTCAAACTTTTGGAATTCTTACTAAGTTTCCAAGGGACATTTTAAATGTTTAAAATGTCGGGGTATATTGTTGCATTATTATAATAAAGAAATTAAACTCATTCTCCAACAATTTTGTAAAACAGGAAAAATTCTTGATGAGCTTTCTGAGTCTTGTATCAAACTCGAAGAATGTCCGGTGTGTGAAGCAGAAGGTCGCAGGATATCTCATGGCAAGAAGATCATTTTGAACTCGGAGAATCCTCAGCTCTGCCAATCCTGGTAAAATAGAGAATTTTGTGGAATTCAAGAGAGGAGACAGGTTGAATTAGGGAAGAGAAGAAATGGATATTATATTGCATGTATCCTCCATAGCTCTCAATTTTAGCAAAACTATATATGGGTTAGGATTTTGGCAAGCTTTTCTAAACGGATTAGTCTTAAGGGATCCTGGAGGATTGTTAATCACATAATCACACTTCACAAAACCAAAGCTACTCTCAACCGCTGTGTACTGGCCCAGACCAGAATATTTAACATTTTTTGAGGGTAGAGAATTTTCCCATTTTTAAAGCATGGAGTTTAATTTTAAAGTGAATACTCAATTTTTCCATGAAACAGGATTTCTTAAAAAATAGCTAAGTCAAGCCACTGTTGTTAATTTATAAATAGAATGGGATTGGCTTCTATTTATAAATAGAAGTTCAATCACTTTAATAATTCTTCTCTACGGAGAAGACAATCCTCAGGATCTTTCTAAAAACATATTTTGGGAGTCTGGTTATGGGATGCTTATTTGCACCTCCCCTTTCCCTCTCAAGCTTTACATATCAATGTTTTTTTTCTCCATCTCTGTTATCCATTTCTCAATAAAGAATTCAAATTATTACTCTCAGGTTGATCAATTATGTTGCATGGAATGAAAAACATCCAGCCGTTTGCTTGTTTCAAACACTGAGCCATAATTTGGAAGCACACTTTTCAAAGCCTTGAAAAATTATATTGATTATCAAAGTTGTCTTTATTCTAAAGGGGAAGTGCAGTGGCTCGGTGGTTAAGACATTGGGCTTGTCAACTAGAAAGCTGGCAGCCCCTGGTTCGAGACCCAGGCACCATGCGATGGGTGAGCTCCCATCCTTGCCTCAGCTCCTGCCAAACTTAGCAGTTTGAAAACATGTAAATATGAGCAGATAAATAGGTGGAACTTCAGTGGGGAGGTAACAGCATTCTGTGATGTCATGGTAGCCACATGATGGTGAAAATGTCCTCAGACAGCCCTGGCTTAATGGTCTTGAAATGGAGATGACCGTCACCCCCTAGAGTCAGCAATAACTAGCAGAGTGAAATCCACAGGGACTCCTAACACTAAAAGAGTTAGAATCATTGAAATGCAAAGAAACATTTAAAAAATTAAAGTCAAGCACAGGAAGTCAGGAGTCCAGCAGTTCAAATGAATATAGGTTTATGCTCTTTACAAGAATCTGAACTACTGACAGTCAAAGTAAATTGGCGGCAGATAAGAATCAACAGAATTTAAGATGGGCTGGAGGCAGATCTTTTGTGGGCTCAAAGGGACTCGAGACTAATGACACGTTTGACTCCTCCCTCTGTTTGTTTTTCCTACTTGGTTAGCCATTGTGAAGTACGAAACCTGACATGCCGCCCGTGTGATCCAGAAGAGACTGTCAAATTCTTGACCACTGCTAGCCCAGATGAAGAAGAGGAAGAGGAAGAGGAAGAGGAGGAAGAAGGAGTCACACGTGAATATTCCTGTAGCAAAATGATGGACCTGGCCATCTTAATGGATGGTTCCAATAAGCTTTCCGAGAGTGATTTTGATGAGTTGAAAAATTTCATAATTAGCATGATGGAAAAACTCCACATTACCCAAAAAAGGATTCGCTTGGCAGTTCTGGAATACCGCACTGGTTCGCACATTTACCTTGGCCTGAAGGATGTTAAAAAGTCAACTAAAATGAGGAAGATTGTGCAAAATATAAAATATACGGGCGGGGAGGTCGCCTCTGCAACCGAGGTGCTGAAATACGTCTTGTTCCACGTATTCGGCAAGGCGCCACGTCCAAAGGTTGCCCGAATTGCTGTGCTGTTTATGGCAAGCAAGGACCCCAAGAGAATCCAGGGGATCTTCCCACTTCTGAAAAAAAAGAAAATTATTGTGATACCCATCGGCCTTGGGCCTCATGTGAGCACTGAGCAAATTGGGCTAATCGAACGGCAGTCGCCAGAAAACAGAGCCTTCCTAATGAACAGCGTTCTTGAGTTAAGGCAACGTAAGGATGAAATCATCGATTACTTCTGTGGTCTTGTGCCTGAAGTCAGTGCAGTCCTTTCCACCCAACGCCCAATCCTGACTGTCCCCAGTGTGGAAGCAAGGACATACCTCCCTCATGGCTTGACGAAGGTACCCGCAACGGAGATGTCTATTTCTATTGAAAAGATCCTTGAGGTTGTCTTTTTAGTTGAAGGCTCCCACAAAGTCGGCAAGACCAATTTTGACACCATCAAAGAGTTTCTCATCCGTACGATCCAAGAGTTGGAAGTGGGAGAAGAAACTGTTTATATTAGCATCCTCCAGTATTCCTTTACCATCACTGTGGAGCATTCTTTCCAGGAACGTCAATCCAAGGAGTTCCTGATTAAGAAGGTGCGGGAGATGAAATTCCAGGGAGGAAATGCAACCAATACCGGACAGGCGCTCAACTTCGTCTCCCAACAGTCGTTCACTACCAAAAGGAGGGAGCAAGTGCCGCACTTGGTTTACATGGTCACTGCAAATCCTGCCACAGATACCATCACCCGCCCACCCAAGGATGTCCATGTGATTCCTATTGGCATTAGACCTAATGTGGACATCCAGGAACTCCAGGAATTAAGCCAGCCACAGACTCCTATTATCATAGAAGGCTTTAACAACCTCATCAAGGAAGGGCCTGACCTGGTATTCAAAACTTGCTGCTCAAAGAAAGGTAATGTCTGGTTTATTTGTTGTTGTTGTTGTTGTTGTTGTTGTTGTTGTTGTTGTGTTTTTTAAACTTGAGAATAGAAGCTAAAATGGTTGTCCCGAAGGTGTTTTTTCAAGGGACAACTGGACTTTCTTTGTTTTTTCCTTGAAGACGTTTCATTCAGTGGTGGGATTCAAATTTTTTTACTACCGGTTCTGTGGGCATGGCTTGGTGGGTGTGGTGTGGTGTGGCTTGGTGGGCGTGGCAGGGGAAGGATACTGCAAAATCCCCATTCCCTCCCCACTCCTGGGGGAAGGTTATTGCAAAATCTCATTCCCTCCCCACCCCACTTACCTGCTTTCCAGCTCCGTTCTCCTGTGCAGGGCAACAAAAGAAGACCCAGCCAATCAGCTGGACTCAATAGGAGGCAGAGAATAGATGGAGGCAGGGCCAGTCAAAGGGGGTATTTGCTGTTTCTCTGAACTACTCAAATTTTCCACTACCGGTTCTCCGAAACTGGTCAGAACCAGCTGAATACCATCTCTGATTTCACTTCTCACCCAAGAAGCTTCTTCAGTTCTGACTGAACGGTGGGCAATGGAAGGATTTATATTCCTTGCAGTCATCTAGTCATTAGCCCTCTTTCTGATGACATTTTTAAAATTATTTTCCCAAGTTTCTATTTGTGTGTGTTTTTTTTTATGAAGTTATGCGTGCCAGTTGTCTAGTCTAGAACCCTTGATAATGAAAAGATTTAAAACTCTCCTCAGAAACTTGCACCAAGCCAATGGATGTGATATTTCTTCTGGATGGAACTTCAGCCATTGAAGAAGCTCAGTTCGAGGAAATGAAACGTTTTGTGAAAGCATTTATTGAACACGCTGACGTGGGTGAGTATCACTTCATTTTAGACTTCAGGATGTTCTAAATTTGTTATCCTCAAGGAGAAGCTTTGAAATAAACCCATAAGCTCACCTTAAAAGGAATGTTGATCTATCTTTGTGAAGCATTGTAAACATTAGCGCAAGAATCTACCTCATCTTAAGGGCCCTGCTGGCACAGTGATTAGAATGCAGTATTGCAGGTTAACTCTGCCCACAGCCTGGAGTTCGATCCTGACCAGCTCAAAATTAACTCAACCTTCCCATCCTTCTGAGATCAGTAAAATGAGGGTCCAGACTGTTGGGGCGCAAAGGCTGACTCTGTAAACCGCTTAGAGAGGGCTGTAAAAGCACTGTAAAACAGTATATAAGTCTAAGTGCTATTGCTTTGGTATTGCAAGGGCCTTGCTCTTCAGAGTCACTTCTGGTTATTGTAGCCTTCCTCATACAAAGATGATTTCTGTGCCAGGGGATGACAGTTCCTTGGAACTGAAAATTATATCTTCCTTATTTGATACTCTGATGAAGTGCCAAAACAGAGAACAGATATCTTTTTGCATTGACTCTTTGGGTCAATTGGATTAGCCACAAATCTCAGCCATATAGCTGTCTTAGTTTTGATGTAACAAAACCCAGACACATCTTCAGTCACTTGGAGGAATAATTTATTTGCTAACGTTAAAAGCTTTTGGAAAGTGAACAATTTCCTGCAGGTATTAATTTGTTAATCTTCAAACCGCTACAACAGAAAGCTTTTTGTTGATTAACAAATAGAAAGGTGAAACTTCTTCTTCTTCTTCTTTTTAAAAAGTAAAATGTGTCTTGGTATGTGTCTCCAGAGTGGGGAAATACAGTAAAAGCAACCAAGGGCAAGGTCATTCAACATTCACTGCATCATATACATCATGCAGTCCTCCAGCTAATACAGGAAGTCAAGAAGTTGTTCTGTCAGAGGACAGTTAAGTGTTGTAGTTTGCTGGCAGCAGTGCAAATGGCAATGGAATTGGACAGTGGGGAAGAACGGGGACCAGTCTGGGAGTCTGGAGAGGACTCGGGTGAGGATCCTGCATCTGATGCAGGGATGGGGCCAGGACCATCTGGGAGTGGAGTGCTGCCTTCGGAGCCTTTGGAGTCTGGCAGCAGCGAGGCAGAGGAACAAGGGGAGCCTGTTCCCAGTGAGTGTGTGCACAAAGCTGCTAGAAGGCAAGAGCAGCTGAAACAAAAGGGGCAACTCGGGAGTAAGGCTGGGAGGTGACTGCCCCTCCCATAAGGGATAAAAGTCAGGCCAAGAGAATGAAACCTTTGCGGGAAGCAAAGTAGTTCGATCGGTTCTGAGTCATTCTTGAAACTCTTTGTACTTTGTTTGGTTTTCTTTCTAGTTCATTTGATACTTTTGTTATTGGCAGCACTTCACAGGAAAGAAAGGTGTGTGCTTATCTTGGGAGACTGAGATTAATTCCAGCTGGGAATGAAAACAATTCCCAGCATTGCAATAAAATAAGTCTTGTTTTTAAAGTAAGTGTGTGCGTGATTACGGTTTAGGAAGCCTGGGTCAGAACACTGAGCACAGTGGTGGAATGCTGCCAGTTTGGACCAGATCAGGTGAACTGGTAGTTCTGACAATCAGCCCAACTGCCCCCGCCCTGTCCTGTCCTTTATTTCCTGCTTTCTCAGTTGTGCGGCACAACTGATTCCCACCCCTCTCGCTGTTCTACTTACTGTTGCTGACTTAGAAGATAAGCAGTTGAGCTTCTAAATGCTCCATTTTCAGCGCTGTGCGCAAGTGCCTTAGGCATGCGCGCTCGCTCACCAAACCAGTTGTTAAACTGGTTGCAGCCCACCACTATCTTAGTAAGCATAAAGAAATCTATATTCTTTACCGAAAGAAAGTGGGGAAGGCAGACACTACTTTAAAGTCTGGTTCAATCTCTAATACAAATCAAGCATGCTTAGATCTACCAAGAATCCAAATTGATCTAGATTGGTTCAAGTTTCTGAAGCCCTCAAAGTATCATTGAGCCAACAGTGTGCAGCAGCAGCCAAAGAAGCCAATGCAATCCTAAGTTGCATTAACAGAGGGATACAATCAAGATCAAGGGAGGTACTAATACCACTCTATAAAGCCTTAGTAAGGTCATATCTAGAGTACTGCACCCAATTTTGGTCACCACACTATAAAAAAGATGTTGAGACTCTAGAAAAACTGCAGAAAAAAACCAACCAGGATGATTAGGGGACTGGCTGGAGGCTAAAACATACAATGAACAGTTGCAGGAACTGGACAGTGAAGAGAAGGATCAGGGGAGACACGATAGCAGTGTTCCAATATTTGAGGGGCTTCCACAGAGAGGAAGAAGGGGTCAAACTATTTTCCAAAGTGCCTGAAGGCCAGACAAGGAATAATGGATGGAAAGTGGTCAAGGAGAGATTCAACCTGGAAATAAGGAGAAATTTTCTGACCAGGAGAACAATCAACCAATGGAACAGCTTTGCCTTCGGATGTTGTGTGAGCTTCATCACTGGAAGCTTCATCACTGGAAGAAGAGACTGGACTGCCATCTGTCAGAAATGCTTGGGCGGGGGAGAGGTGTTGAACTAGATGACCTACAAGGTCCCTTCCAACTCTGTTAATCTGTTAGAACCTCAAAACCAAGCTTTTTTGTGTGTGTGTGTGTGTGATCAGGGCCTTCAGAAAGCTAGATCCTTCTTTTGAGCACACTTAGATGACCAGATGTGCCCATTTGGTAAGACAGTCTCAGTTGTGTGGGAAATGTTCTGGACTCCAGGCATCCTCCCAAAATTGGAACATAGATTCCTTCTTAGAAGCCCAGCCATCTGGGAGCAGTATGATCTTTGCCAGTTCTGCTCATTGTGTTGGCCCAAGTACTTGAGGAAGTAGACTAGGTAGAAACACAGAAGTCAATAGTAGACATGCACCTGGTAATAGGGCTCTCTTTTTCACTGGGCTTTTGGTGCCATGTAACCACAGGTTATCAGTTGCAACCCTGCTGATGGCTTTGTGCTGAAAAGACAATTGTTTGTCTTTTCCTTTGCTTGGTGGCATGATGAAGTGAAAGAGACTGTGGATGGGTGGGAAATGCACAGATGGAAGTGTGGCTGAAAAAAAGTGACAAAAAACATCTTGTTTGCTGTGTAGATAAAGAATAATAAATGAGCAACATGGCGGCCTAGTGGTAAAGACGTTCACCTCCCACTCAGAAGGTTGAAAGTTCAATCCTAGGTAGAGGCAGATATTTCTCTCCTAGAGCACAAAGAAAAAAATATCTGCTGTGAACATCGCATAGGTGTCAGGAAGGGCATCTGGCTAGTCAACGCTCGGCTCCATCCAGTTACCCGACTTTAGCCAGAATTAAGGATCATGGGGTTATAAAAAGGGAGTTTTTAAGCAAAGAATTATAAATGTCAGGTGCAAGAAAGGAACCAGGATTGTTCAAATGAGTACTAACAGTCAAGGCAACCTGGTGGTAGATAAGAGTCAATGGAATTCAAGAAAGGATGGACTTAGATCTCTTGTGGGCATGAAGAGACTCAAGACTGATGATGTGCTTGACTCTTCCCTCAAGCTCAGCCTGGTCATCAATACTGTAATGGCAAAGACTCTAGTCAAAGAATATAGAGAACAGTTAAATTCCAAGAGAGAGAAAAAAATGCAAATTGATTTTGGTGGAAATTTAAAAAAAAAGAATGTTTGGAAAAGAACTAAATAATAAGCCCTTCATTGTTTCAGATGGAAGCATGGATCAAAATGATGAAATGTTTTTGGCACAAAATTGAAATGAGACAATGCAGGAGTATTTTAGATCCATGTGTGGTAAATGCTAATGAAAAGCTAAAGGGTGGCATTGAAACATATGTTAATTTTAATATCAAATGAAGTCATAAACGCCTTGCAAATGTTGAAAAATCGTGAGGCTGCTGGTATTGACAGCATAACAGGAGAAATATGTTAAACTATAGCCACGGTTTGCTTAAGGAGTGGCTATGTAACTAGTTGAATGTATGAATAAAAACTCCATGTGTCACAATTTTAAGGGATGGTATGGGATTGGTTATTAGAAGCGACACCAAGCCACGATTGGGAAGTGCAAGGCAGATTTGGGGAAGGCAGACGGTGTGAAAATCATGTTTTAGCTCTTCCCCACATTACTTGGAAACAAAGTGGGCTGCAACTTTGTTGATTTTGTGTGTGTGATTGTGAGCTTTAGTTATGGTCAGCTTTTTGCGAATATTGTAAAGTTGGTTGCTGAGTGATGTACATGCAGGAGAAGCATGCATAAAAATTAAACGGAATGTTTACTGAATGTTTCAACAAGGAGCAAGAGGTCCTTTTGTATGTTTAAAAGTATTTAGGGTTAAATCTTTAAGGAATACTTGTAGTGTGACCAGAGGTGTGTTGCTTGGGAATGTGAATATATGTGTAGTTTTACAAGCAGATAATTATGCTGCATTCATTAAGGTTAATTGCATTCTCTCGTGCTGCCAGGAAGTCCTTATGTATACACTGATTGGGGCACAAAGGACAGGAATACATATGTGTTGTCTGCATGTCACCACAATCGCAAAAAAAAAATAAAGCAACAGAGTAGCTCCATTTGTTCACAGTGTCTCTGGATCTTGTACCCAGGCACAGTCTATTCAATGATTTCCATACTTTCCAGCTTATAGACTGGGTTGACACATAGTCACAGTGAGCACACTCTGACAGAATATTATACTGCAGTGAAAGCAAATATATATACAACCACAAGATCACAAGCAAAGCAACAAATTGCAATAGCTGGCAGGTTAACATCACCTCCTAGAGATAAGCATTCCAAGCTGGATGGGACGAAGCAACAGCAAGAAATAAACCTCCTTTAACCAACACGACGGAAGCAAAAACAACAGAGCTAATTACAGATGGAGGTGGTTGGAAGGGTCCATGCGTGCAAGGGCTAAATTGATTAATAATATATAAAACTCATCTAAATATATAGTCTGAGGCTGTTGGAGTCAAGTGACCCAAAATGGTAATCAACATTAATATGCATTTCATGTCCATCAATATACAAAGGTGTCTTCTGTTTTGACTTTGAGGTCTAGTAAGCCATAAGCAAGTTTTAATCCAATCTTTTTAATTTCTTGATCCCTGAATCTTTTGGCTTCCTCCCCAGGTCATTTTTCAACTCAAGTTGCAGTACTTCAATATGCAAAAGTGAACTCTCTGGAAATTTCATGGAACGCATTCCAGGAAGAAGCTAACCTTCTGAAAAAGGTGGACTCCATTCATCAAAGAGAAAAAGGCCCAAGCAAACTAGGTATCGTCTTCTCTGGTCTGCAGTGATAGGGGAAAGGTTTTCCTTTGATCAGTTCTAAGAAAGTTTATTGAATACTCTTCTGAGTATTCAGGGGTGGGCTGCTACTGGTTTGGGTGAACCAGATGTGAATTTTACATCTGGTTCACTGAACCAGTAGTTGCAATGACTAGCTGGCCTCCGACTCAGAAGGTTGAGAGTTCAATCCCAGAGAGTGGCAGATATTAGTTTCTTAGGGCACAAAGAAAAAATATATATCTGCTGCAAGTCTGGGAGTTGAAGTCCACAAGTCTTCAAATTGCCAAGTTTGGAGAAAGGAATGGTAGGGAAGACTACAGAGATGCAAATCATTCATTTGAGAGAAGGAACCGAATTCATGTCCTTGGAAAACAACACCCATCTTTGTAGAAGAAACTTAGGTAGGAAAGAAAGAGGAAATAGGGCAGGAAGCATGAAAGATCATAATGTTGCGATGGGAAATGAATTTTGTGGGAATCGGCCTCAGTGTTAAGTATTTGCATACCTGATGATCACAATTCATCAGCTTGGTGCAGGGAAATAAAATGAAAAAAAAAATGCATGAAGCAAACACTTAATTTAATATTATGTTGGTAAGTTAAAGAACTAAATAATGTACCCTTTTTTAACAGTGCTAACAATGGGTTGTCATAGTACCAAATGTCACATTAAGCGACTATTTTGAACCACAACAATTATAGCAAGTATCTCCAGTCCAGGAATCTGGTTTTTTGCCTCCTTTGAACTCTAATTAAATTGTCCTTTAGGTTTCCATCTGTTTCCAATAAAGGTGGAAGAATAAAGACCTTTAAGCTCTGATTCTTCCTTTGTCCAAATTATTGGAAAGGTGTTTATTGATAGAATTGTATATCCAGTTTTAATGATTCAAGCAACTAAGGAAGGAACCTTGCTTTGCAGAATCTCTTGCCCTTGCTTCTAACAGAGAAGAAATATCTTCATGCAGTTTAATATTTTACCCTTCCTCTTACCAAGATACACAAACCCCACATTTCTTCTTTCTGTTTCTCTCTGCTTCAGTTTATTGGAGTTTTTCCTTCCTACTGTTAGTTATTATGCTCTTAATTTCCTCTCCTTCATTCTTTTGTTTTTTAGAACCAAAGCTGCTTAGTTTATGATTTATCTGGCTTCAGGGGCAACTCCCCTTAAAATGCAGAAGGGTCACACCCAAATCCAGTTATGATTAAGTCATTCCTTCTTTCTTTGCACCACAGAGTGCCACTTGGTTGTGCTTGGGACAGCTTCAGTTTTGCTGGATGTGCACTCCAAAAAAACAAATAAATAAATGAATAGGTATTAATCAAGCTGCTAACTACTGCTTTAATGGAATTTCATCCACATGTAATCAATTAGTGTCTTGTAAATTAAATTGTGTCTTCCTTCAGTTCCTTTACTCATTAGCTGAGTAACTTCATATGGGGAAAAACTTGAATGAAAGTACACATAGTCCCACAGCTTTCTCTACAAACGACTTCTGCACACACACATACAACATACATACACACACCCCTCTGATACATACAGACCACAATGACAATCCTCCTCCAGTGGGGTGGTCACTCCTGATTTCCTCTTTAGGTGAGGTTTAGCCAGGATTCATGAGCCATTAGAGAGCAGTATTGCAGCGGTTAGAGTGCAGTATTGCAGGCTAATTCTGCAGACTGCCAAGAGTTCAATCCTGACCGGCTCAAGGTTGACTCAGCCTTCCATCCTTCTGAGGTTGGTAAAATGAGGAGCCCCGATTGTTGGGGGCAATAGGCTGATTCTTAGAGAGGGCTGCAAAGCACTGTGAAGTGATATATAAGTCTAAGTGCTATTGCTATCCTCTTTCAGCAGAGGGCAGGTGTGTAGGTTCTCCAGTCCTTCTCTTCCTGACCTTAGCAACTCATGTCAAGAGATGGTAAGATGGGCGTGGCAGAGGAAGGATACTGTAAGATCCCATTCCCTCCCCACCCCACTAACCTGCTTTCCAGCTGTTTTCCTATGCAAAAGAAGACCCAGCCAATCAGCTGGGACTTGGGAGGCAGAGTGTGGATGGGGGCGGGGCCAGTCAGAGGTGGTATTTGCCGGTTCTCCGAACAACTCAAAATTTCCACTACTGGTTCTCCAGAACTGGTCAGAACCTGCTGAAGACCACCTCTATGCATGGCCCTGTGGAGATCTTTCCGCTACATATAATCAAAATCAGACTCTCTCCTCTCGTCCTGTGCTACATAGCATGACAACCTAAACCCCCTCCCCTATTTATTTTATAATTTGGAGGCTTCTCAAGTCTACAAGGCTCTGAGAGGCTTTCAACTTTAGCAGCAAGAACAATAATAAGGAAGCAAAGATCACAGATGTCCAGATAATATAACGCACATTCGCAACCTACAAAGAATTTGAATAGATACGTTTTCAACAATCGTCTAAATATCACTGAGTTGCTAACAGGTCATCCCAACTGGCAGCAACATAACCTGGTTGTGTTGATTGGATAGAGGGTAGACCAAACTCACAACTAATAAATGTTCCCTTCAAACTACAAGAAAAATTAGTGTTAGGATTGTTTAATCAAAATAGGTCTAGCACACACAGTCCTGGTGAGGGAGTGAAAAATATTTGCGTCTATTTCTTCTCACTTACTACTGTATCTTCATTAAGATGTTTTCCTTACATAGGACAGAAAAAAATACAGTATTGGCAGATGTTTCCTCTCCTGCCATTGGCCCAAAGGACTCAATGGTTCTTCAACAGTAGGAAAATAGGTTTCAGAATGGACAATAAAGCTACCGTTAAGATTTGCTTTATAAAGGATTACTTGGGATACTTTGCCATTTCATTTTTACTTTTTAATGATTGTAACTATGATTTATGATATATGGCCTACCACTTTGTTGTTGTATGTGTGCATGCTGAGAGCTTCTGCACTGGAGAGAAATTCCTTGTGTGTCCAATCACACTTGGCCAATAAAGAAGTCTATTCTGTTCTGTTCTGTTTGGTTCGGTTCGGTTCTGTTTGGTTTGGTTCTATTCTATTTTACCCTACCCTACCCCACCCTACCCTAGTATTATTCTATTCTATTCTATTCTATTCTATTCTATTCTATTCTACTCTACCCTACCCTACCCCACCCTACCCTACTCTACCGTAGTATTATTCTATCCTGTTCTGTTCTAGCCTAGCCTAGCCTAGCCTAAAGTCTAGTCTACTATCTTGATCTGTTCTTGTTTTTTACTCTGCTCATAAGCTATGCTTGTCCTGTATCATTTCCAGGGGAAGCAATAGACTTCATGGTTCAGCATGCCATTTCTGAAGCCAACGGAGGACGACCCAATGCATCCAAAACGGCCGTGGTTATTGTGGCAGACACCTCAAAAGACGCTGTGGAAGCTGCTGCGTATTCCGCCAGAGCCAATAGTAAATTGGTTATTTTACCATTACTTTTACAGTGCCGTGATATTTTGGAAACATGCCTCCAGCTTGTGGGGCATAAGGCGTCCCTATTCTTTTGTTACTGAAGTCTATTTGGTACATGGTTGGATGTCCCAAAAGTCCATACAGGTAGTCCTTGACTTATGACCATAACTGAATCCAAAATTTCCGGTGCTAAGCGAGACAGTGGTTAAGTGACTTTTGCCCCATTTTATGACTTTTTGGGCTACAGTCGCTAAGTTAGCCACATGGTGGTTAAGTGACTCTGGCTTCCCCATTGATTTTGCTCGTCAGAAGATCGTGAAAAGTGATCACGTGACCCTAGGATGCTGCAACCATCATAAATATGAGACAGTTGCCCAGCGCCCGAATTTGGATCCCATGACAGTGCAGGTGCTGCAATGGGCATCAGTGTGAAAAATGGTCATAAGTCATCTTTTCAGTGCTGTTGCTACTTCAAATGGTTGCTGAAGGAGTGGTTATAAGTCCGGGATTGCCTGTATAGCAATAGCACTTAGACTTATATACTGCTTTATAGTGTTTTACAACCCTCTCTAAGCAGTTTAGAGTTGGCCTATTTGCCCTCAACAATCTGGGTCCTCATTTTATCCACCTTGGAAGGATGGAAGGATGAGTCAACCTTGAGCTGGTCAGGATCAAACTCCTGGCAGTGGGCAGAGTTTGTCTGCAATAGCAATATAAGTGGTATATAAGCACTTACACTTATATACTGCTTCGCAGTGCTTTTACAGTCCTCTCTAAGCAGAATACAGAGTCAACCTATTGCCCCCCAACAATCTGGGTTCTTATTTTACCCGGAAGGATGGAAGGTTGTGTCAACCTTCAGCCTGCCAGGATCAAACTCCTGGCAGTGGGCAGAGTCAGACTGCAAAACTCACTGCACCACCAGGAAGGAGAATGAGAAAGGAATAAGAGAGGAAAGAAGGAAGGAAGGAAGGAAGGAAGGAAGGAAGGCAGGAAGGAAGGGAGGGCAATAGCAGAGTTAGATACTGCTTTATAGTGCTTTACAGCCCTCTCTAAGTGGTTTACAGAGTCAGCCTCTTGCCCCCAACAATCAGGGTCCTCATTTTACCCACCTCAGAAAGATGGAAGGCTGAGTCAACCTTGAGCCTGGTGGGATTTGAACTGCCAAATTGAAGACAGCAGAAGTAGCTTGCAGTATTGCAGCAGAAGTAGCTTGCAGTACTGCATTCTAACCACTGCGCCACAGAGGCTCCTGGGTCTACAGGGGTTATAGGGGCTGCTGAGGGTTTGTAGGGGTTCGGGAGAGCCCCTAGCTAAGATTTTGTGCAGTTCTGAGAACCCCCAAATCCTACTCTGGGATGGCCCTGCCCCTCCCACCCCTCCCCTCCCCTGAGTCCCCATGCGGC